TTAGTCCCAGCCAGACTGCAGCAATGCAAATGACAATCTCCAGAGCCGGGCCAGATTACGTCCGATAGGGAATCGACTTGGCCGCAGTCAGGTGTAGAACCTCAGGACCCACCTAACAAATCAGACCTGCGAATCCCAGTACCAGATATGTGCCATCGTGGTGGGCGCGGGCGAAGCAGTGCACATTTATTTTTGGAAACGAAGGAAAATGCATTGAGAACAGTCCCTATCAGGCGTACAAAATTTTCTACAAAACTACTGTTTGCGGAGGGGAAATTTTGTCTTCCAAACGGTCCACTATACTGCATACGCATACTCAGCCCGAAACACTATATCAGCGTCTTTCTGTAATTCGCCTCAATGAAACTTCCTTTGTAATTTTTGGCTCGAGCACACTTTCAAATTGGCACTTTAAAGACAAAACAACGCATGAGCTCAGGTTCACGGATGTTTGTAGGGTAGATTGTGACAGCGAGTTTTCATCCTTCACGCAGCCAATGAAAATGATAATGATAATGTTTGTTCCCAACTAGTGGGAGGTATACTTTTAGGCATGAGCATAAGGTTACAGCTAGAAAAGACCGTCGCGAATTGTGTGTATAGGGGGGTTGGACAAAAGGACACCGTCGTATGTGGTAGCATTATACGACAAGGGCAGGGAAGCGTCTTTGAGGAGAATATCGAGCAGCATCGGATCTTTGGGATTTGAAGGTACCGGGCAAAAATCAAAGCAATAGACGGTAAAAAAAAGAGGCTGCCCGCCTGACACATGGCAAGAAAAGTTTCAACGCCGGAAAATTGGGAACCGAAACATCAGATCTGGTGAAGTGGTAGAGTTTACGTTTTCCGGCCGGTTAAACTAAACAAAACTAAAAACCACCACTTAGGCCTCGTTGCCTTGTACTGTTAGGCTCGGCCATTGAGCCAGAGGCTCATGTATAAGTTTTTAAATTTGCATACTGCTTGCGTTAAATTTTTTTCAATGGATGGGAAAATCGGAATTCTGGAGAAAGTCGGCTCCGAGACACGGACATTTTCCCCAGCTTATACAATTCTATAGAATCACTGATGAAGGGTATGTTCCATTGTAAATTGAGCCAGTCCGTAGATACACACCGGAAAGCATAGTTTAAACGAAAGAGATTTCACTGAGTGAACTTATCAGTTGATTGCATTAATATGAAAACTTTAAATCTCAATAATAGTATCAGGTTTGCCAGAATTTCTTTGGGGCTACTCAGGGTTTATTTTTGGGCCGAAATTCATATTTTGAAGGCTGGCGATACCTTAGATTTTTTCCGTGACAAAGGTAAAAATTTTCATGGAAAAGTTGTTTGTTTGTATTTTGTGTTGGATTTTGAAGTATTTTAGGACTACATATACCATAATTACATCATCTTTGTCCAAACCAACTCAAAATGGAGCAGCCATTTTTGACATGCGGGAAAAAGTTGTACATTTTTGCAGCAGGTTTTCAGCCTTCTGTAGCAAAACTACTCGACATCTGGTTAGGTTGTTGGCTTTTCTGCAACGGTCAGAAAACTATGTATTAGGCGTACTGCATGGTCTTATATTACTGACAACTACTGACAACTTGAGAGTTCCGTATCAAAAATTATTGAGCTCATGGGCAGGAGGAGCAGACGGTGCAATTTAATGACCAATGCTTTGGAGGACTGACACAAATTCAACGGATAAGGCCGGCATTGTGTGCGCATGTAAGACACTCTGTCGGGAATTAGCATGGACATAATGAACTACAGGCAAGCCATTAGACGGGGCATGGCAGTAGCAGCACCGTCATCTCGTCGTAATGCCTGGTTTCGTGGACAGTCTCGTACGTAAATATCGTGGAATCAGCTGAGGGTGTCATGGTAGTTTGGATCAGCCATATCGTCACAAATTATGACCAACATGGATCAAGGTGGTCCTTGAGTCTATCGAGGGCACGAGTTGCTTCATTACTGTCATTCAAGCGAGGCGATAAGGCAAGTGTAACTACATTCGGGACACGGAATAAAAGAGATTCACACTGTCTGCTGGAAACCTTCATGTTACGAGTAACATCCTCACCTAAAACAGCAGGCAGCCAGGAGGGGTCAAAATATTGAACTACCGCAGTAAGGCGACACCGCCCGGTCCCAAAAACGGAGTCACTATGCTGTGATATAAGTAGGTTTGTGTTCATCAAGAACGAATGTGGGTGTATGTGGACATGGGGAGCATGCATTAGCAAAATTATGAAGATGTGTTATAGGATGCCGAAACCTATATGACAGCCGGCAGAAAGTGCCCCTTCTTGGCCTGAAATATCGAGCGGCTTTCAAAATGTTGTGTGTCTGAAGTTCAAAAGCTTCTTTTTGTATAACCTGACGTTGAAGTTTACAGAATGTTCCGTTTACAAACGCAAACATGAGAGCCGATGATTAGTTCATTGGAAAATGGCCCCTAGTTGTTAACCCTGCTGCTGTGGCTAAATATTGCACGGTTACAAGTTATGATGAAAAGAGTCGCATTTTGGTTTCTTTTGAGCTGTAGGGTTTCAGTATCCAGAACCCGGAGTAGGATGAACTTGGAGCTTAGTGCTCTAATCACCCCAAGTACTCGCCTACTCGCTAGATCGTCGTGTGAACTACATTCACAGCTGCACAGTTAAAGCCGAATGAGATCCTTGGATCCTAGAGCTGAAACTTATACAACATGATCTCACGACTGATATGTTCACGCGTCACTTAGGCTTAAGCCTCGTTGTCTAATAACGGGCACGACCACTGAATCCTGATATGGCATCATCGATGTACGCACGGATCCCTCATTACAGCAATTAGGACTAATTGAGCAAGCAGTAAGTTTACATCTATGACAGTATGACCTCAGATGCAGTGTGAACACCTTTGAGGCACTGTATACAACTGGAATTATTCAGCGCTTGGTGAGTTAGCCTCTACAGCATTGATGAATCATGTATTTCAGTGATCTGGTTAGACATTCGCATGAGATTTAATCGACTATACATTGACTACACATTACGCAAACAACAACTTCCAAAATGCAGCCAACAAAGGTTGTTGAACATCGTTTAGGCGTGAGCTAGCCAAACACACAACAGATATGAGTATGAAGGACCGTCGTTTGCCATCAGATTGGGCCGCCATGCATAATTTAGGACTTGTTATCAGCAGCGCGCACAGCTATCGCCCAAGTGCTTACTTTAAGTAACCAGGGGAAGCGGCAACATGTATATTCATAAGTACGAAGGGCCGGGGTTTGTGATCGGAATAAGTTATCATGCGCATTTTAGGCTTTGCTTAGCTTCGCACATGAACGGGTTGGCAGTTACAATGTGGTTAAGTCCGCAACAACTCATAAGTTTGTGATAATGAAGGGGCAGAGTTGTCCATTGCGTCAGGCTATCATGTGTAACTAGCGCCTCACAACCAACGACACGCAGTGGAGTTGGGCCTATAAGTTTAACGGATTCACGGATCGATGCACAGGATCAGAGTCTTCGGCTGAACCTCCTAGCCTGGTTTTGTTCTCGTCAACCGGCGGATTCTGCTCACCCGAATGACACAAGCAAAGAAGTGTGTAGCGCCGCTGCTTAAGTTCACAAAGCGAATCAGTAAATTTGCCACTGCGAGAAACCCACTAAAAGCATCTAAAAGTGCAATAAACCTAGCACTAGATGCAGCGTGACCAACCGTGGGAGGAGGGTAATTCTGTGCGAACTATCCGGAAGGAGAAAAATTCTGCCGTGAGGAAATCTAGTGGAGTTTGGCACCAAGAAAGAGCATAACAAGACCGCTTTCACGCACAATGTCCTGACTGATGGGAACGCCTTAATCACGTATAGCATTTCTCTTTGTGTTTGATAGAGCGCAAGCTCTCATAGCAGCGATACCTTTGGAACTGGATTAGATGTCTTTAAAAAGCCCGAGAATACGGCATCAAATATGAGTCCTTCGTCCTCGCCTGCGGTTGAGCTGTCCATTATTACGACCATATTCGTCAAGCAGGAATGGTTTATTGAGGACCCGTGTTGCACTATGGATGTTAATTTGCTGGCGGTGACGTTATTTAAGAGGGCCTGAATCTGGAAGGTTTTCATCACCCCGCACGGTATGCCAGTGTGTCTAACAGGCCTGCAGCTGCTGGGCAATAGTCGGTCAGCGTGTTGGTAGATTTTGGTGACAATCAACTTCCTACAAGCAGAATGAAGTTTCATTTCGTCGAGTGACTGATTGATAGAACCTATCAACTGATTAATTTGAGATTTGACCAAAGGCATCATGGACGTATTCATCTGTATGGCAACGAAAACAGCCGCTTGCTGCGACCGCCTGACATACTTTCCCAAATAACATTTTTCCATGAAGAGCCTCCACGCGCAAAACGATCGAATTTTGTGCGCAATGACGATTACTTGAAATGAAAATAATATTTTTTGCGGTTTCGTGCACGTAAACACACCCGGAACAAAACATGTTAAAGAACATCAAAACACTCAGCGACGCATGAGGACAAACAGGGCGGAGAACTTCTCGCAAATAATGGCGCTGCACACTAAAACAAATCCGCTTTAATCGCTTGGTGGTTTACATTCCGTGGGGACCCGGAAATGCAGGATATTGTAGTTTTTTTATTGGTGCAAGACAACTAAGGAGGCTTTGACGTTTCCTTGACGTCTCGAGCTTCCGCGGCTTATATGCCGAACATTGCTGCAGAAGTTCTGCACAGATTCCGCACAGGTTCTGCACCCAGGCAGGGACGCGTGCCAACTGGGAATTCACCTTATTTGTATACATATCTTGTTCAACCATCTGGGATGAATTTACATTTGCTATTAGGTAGCTGCTACTTTGCACCTGAAAAACTCGGCGGAACGTTAAAATGCTAAGATTTGATATCGCACCTTCTCTCGAGAACAGGTAATTACATGTGATTCGGGCGGTTGGTGACCTTGAAAGTTTGCTTACTTAAACAAAGTGCATTGAGCGAAATACCACTGAAAGGTGCAACCGGATCAGGCCAAAATTCTGAAAAACCACATATTTTCGGCGGAATTGTTCTCGATTACTTCTAGTGGGCGGCGAAAGCTGATTTGATCACCAGCCAATCACATCGTTCGCTGGTCCCTGGTTGTTCCCCTCGTTCCTCCGTTTCATTTCGTTGGAGCCGGGTAGTGTAACGCGTTGATCACCAGTATGCATGGACTGCTTAATCTTCGTGCCTGCGAGCTTGCTGGACTGAGGGTAGGTGTCAATAAGTGTCCTGCTAATCCCCGACAGGTTGCATTCGCTGGCTTTGGCTCCTACCTCTCAAAATTTTCATCCCATCCCAGACTTTTGCATGACATATACTGGAATGATAAACATGACCCGAATGAAACGGTGAGAATTTTCACTCTTTGTTGCGATGTTTTGAACGGATTTTCATCAGCGTTTTCTTTGTCTTTGGCCGATAAATCCCCGGAAGTCCCGTTTGAAGTTTGTAGGTTCATACGTACAGTGGGGTCACTGGGTTTAGTAAGGGACTGCGCGACAGTCTGGGCTCTAGCTCATCGAAAAGCCGAAACAATGGGATACAAAAGGTTGCACGTAACATTTGTCCACATTCACCGAAAGGTGTTTGCTCGAAAAAAACCACTTATGAGCTTCATCCACGTCTGGGTTTCATTCGCACTAATTCTGAGAGGCCGGATAGTTCTCCATACCTGGATGTCGTCAGCGAAGAGTTGTGGGAGATTCAGGGTTGCTGACAGTTCGTTTATGAAGGCGAGAAAGCGTCTTTTACCCAGTACAGAGTCTTGTGAGACTGCATGATTCTAGTAAGTGTTCTCCCACTTACCCTGTGGAAAATCCTTCATTCTTATGGGTGATATATTATCCATTGCATTAGTGGCAGGCTAAAAAAATCGTCAGCGTGACCTGATCTGCCTGGTCAAAGACCTTTTAGAAGTGGAGATCACCTCAGGCTCTGTCCACTCATCCAGTTCCCTAGTCCAGCTGTCTGCTAGAAAGAGGTTTGTGAAACAGGGTCATTTATCGGAAGCAGTTCTGTAGTGCTTCCGGTACTTAGGTGCATTTTGATTTGATCTGTGGTCATGGGGTCCCTCAGTCTATAACCTGCAGAGGAAAGAGCGGTGGGACTTAAGCTGTCCTGGTCAGTCTACCTTTGTAGCTTGACGTGACGATCTCTGTTTTCCACTCCGTAATGATTGCTTGTTCTCCAAGACTCAAAGGTCTGTCGACGGTAGTCTCAACATCTAATATTTTTCACACGCCCAACTGTTTTTGGAATCCAAGTGAAGTGATAGCTTTTGGGAGATCAACTTTGAACATCCGAAAATTTTCAATTGACCAATGTTGCCTGGGTCGGTACTTGGCTCTTTGTTGAATGACTGGTGGTAGTATAGAAGAGCAAAAATAGAACTGTGATATGTTTAATGATATCATAGACAACAGAAGCTTTGTTTTTGAGAATCACTGGACAACGACTCATCCCTAAACTGGTCCATCGTTTACGCTCGACTGGTCGTTGGAAAACAGCTGGATTCAGTGGGCTTGCAAGGGGTGCAGCATATAACGATGTGGTCATGCGGAAATGGTTCTTCGAATGGTTTCCGAATCTCTTCGTGGTTTGAGACTAAGTTATCCATCACTGTAGGCTGGAAACACGTAACACCCCTAACTGTTCCTTGCAAGTCTCAGAACCCGTTCAGTTTGAGGAATGTAGGTGTAATAGAGCTGTATGGTAAAAACTCTTCACTCCAGATTTTACAGGTTTCCCTTTGGTAATGCATCGTTTTTGAAATTATTTTCGCGGTTCTCCACACCTGCGCAGTGATCGGAAACACGTCACGTATTCCGTTTTTCCGTATGTGCGGTCAATCGAGAGGCCACCTTATTTATGCAAGTTAGCAGCGCTGTGTTGAGTTCTGAGTAGCCCAAATTTATTTTTTCCCAAGCATCGGTTTGTCCACAGTCGACGACTTTTTCAGTATTTTAGGGTCCGCTTATGACGTCTTCTAGGCCAAGAACAGTGCTGCTAACGGAGCCGGAGTTTATTTGAGAAGGCCGTTAATGTACCTACTAAATTATTTCAGACCCACTATTGGACTCTGTGTCATGCTACTCAGCATGAGGTGTAGGTCGGATGTGTACTGTGGACTCTCATCATAATACTCCTATCTGCGAGGTGACTCGTTTCGATCGAGTAGGCTAGTTCAATAATTCGGTATAAAAATCCCATTCAGGCTGTGTCTGTTACAAGTAACCCCATTTGAAAGCTAAAACTAAAGCGAAGTAGCGCATGGTTGCCAATGCATCGCAGTGAAAATACTTGAATCGTGAAGAAGGAACAACAGTTTAGGCCCAACTGGAGGATTTGCATTCGAACACTGGCAGCCATTATGGATAATTTCCGCGGTGGTGCTGGCTCTTTTCGACAGCAGGAAGTGGGGTCTCTGCAAATTCTGTAACATGAGCACAACGTTAGACACAGTGAAGTTCCTCATCAATTGTTACGCTGGTCTACGACGCTTTGCTGGCGAAAGTCCCATGGTATCAGGCGACAGCTCTGTTTGATCTGTATGCCCCATTTAGTTAGTGTTCGGTGTGCGTTCTGTTTCTCCACAAGCTAGAGGAGCTATCACGGTAGTACGATTTCGCATCTTAATTATCGACCAACTGACAGACCAAATCGAAGGTTACAATCGGTCAACTATGGTCAGTATGATTATATGGATCAAAATAAGGTAGTTGGTGCTCTGAACTAGGACATCCTAATGCGGGACGTCCAGTAAACTGGATTATACGTGCCGGAGACTGGATGAATACTACTAACCAAGAGGGCATCTTAAGGTTCCAGCCCACTATTAACGTTACAGATTTTTTTGTGAATTCATCAGGAAATACGTATGTTATCCGCGGCCTTTTTTCAATCCTCCAGCTTCTCCCATTCGTAGCAGTGGAGATGCAGTCGCTCACATTCATGGAAGCTCACTACCCACGAGGGCTCCTGCCAGTAGGTGATGAGAATAGACTCGCTTCACATTAGTCTTCCCATGAGTCGGAACCAGATTTCAGTGAATCTAGCTGCAATGTATGCTAGAAACTGCACTTTTAAAATTGATTTTTCTAGTTCATTGTCACGATCTTCAACCTGCACTATTCTACCAGGTTCATTTATGGCTGTACGTGGAGGTTTATTATGCCAAAGATTATCTACGGGGACAAGATAACACGTGTTCTTTGACCACTATAGGAAAGTGAGCTTATGACTTATACTAGTCGATGTGAAGATGAAGCCAGACTGGCCGCAGGAGTTCACAGAGATTGTCTGAATTACTTTGGGTATGTCACTGATGTCCTAAGTTGACAGCGCGCTTCGTATCGTAGCGAGTGACAGATAGGTGGCGACGTCAAATCGTGGATGTTAAATTAGTGGCCGTTTGAATAGGACTTCCGTAGATGGCAGGTTTTCCATTCATCTATCCTTATTTCTTGTAGTAGTTATTGAGTTCATACTGTTGAGCTCTGTTTCTGCGTACTTTCAGTAAAGAGTGCTTCTACTCCTAGAATTCTTTCACCCAAATGTTAGCTTTACCTAGGTTATTCGGCATTCTAGCGCCAACTTATTTAGGGCTATGCACCTCAATGACTTGTACCCAGGTCGTACACAGATCATCGGGTCGGCTGTTCTGTTCGTCCGAATTCGTAGCATACATGCAAAGTAGACATAGTCTCCGTACTCTCCCAGTGGGCTTGTTAAAGTGACCGTCAGCCTCAACACAGAATCTTCTACCAAATTCGAAACTGATTATATCGCTGCTCGTTTCATGCGAATGGGATGACATTACGGACACCTCGAATACCGATCGGAATTAGTCGCTTTTTGACACACAAATGCGTCAAAACGTTGTTGGTCGTTAGCTTTGCCATATACTCTTAGAGAATAAGTAGACATTCGTCAGTCTCTAGATGAAATGGAATGCTGTCCATTTTCAGAAAGGGGCTCGTAGTGAGTGCGGTAATCACAGTGTGATCAGCTTGATCCCAGTAGTATCGAGACTGTTGGCGTCGCCCTATGGTACTCAGTAAAACATAAAATCGGGAACAGCAGACATGATCCCGGTCTGATAGGTGTAACAGCCCAATTGTTCCCACCCAGGCTGGTGCTGGGGCAACACCATACGCATAACTGACATAAAAGTCGATCAGAGAATATGTATAGCACCAGAAGCTGCGGTGGTTGGGCCGTGTATCGTGCATACCGAATCATCCTTTCCTGAGCAGTGCTGTCTTCCGTGCCCAGTTCAGAGAGGTGGTTATCTTTTGCCTGACAGGATGGTATGTAAGGGACTTCGAAAAGTCTGGGTGCTGTCAATTCGATCAGCCTACCATGATAGGGCCCGCATGATCCTAAGTGTACCTGGCAAGAAGTGCTGCAAGATGTTGCTCCTATTCAGTGTCAATGGCATTTTTGTTTCTTATTTTCTATCCAGATTGTCTGAATGGGTGTCTGGAGATGTAGGCACATAGGGATGATTGTGCTAGGCTGACACCAAACCACTTTTATTCTTTTTTCACAATGAGGCTGTCAAATTAATTTTGGTTGCGTGGCAGCGAAAAATTGTCGTTGAACATCGATGTTATGATGCCGATAGTGATGATGCACAGGGCGCCCTGGAGTATCCCCGGCAGGATCACTGTCGTATCATCTACGTCTTTCCACCAGACATGCGTTAGGCATTCAAATAGTCCGCTCAGTTTCCACTTCACTTATCTCATAAAAACACTGCGTACGTTTGGTGTGATAAAGGACTCTGTAGCTAATACGTTAGTTTGTCGGTGTAGATTTTTTTCCGAAGCGAGGAATAATAACCCAGTGATCCAAGACTCTCAATAGCACACTAAGAAACCTTAATACGATCCTTTATTCAATATTTTCAAGCCTCCGTCCTGGCGAAATCCACTCCTCGTTTTTTTTAGGAAACACTTGGAATAATATTCATGATGGGCCGGCTCGTTTTCTCCCTGTCTTCAAGATTGGGTCCATTCGAATCTCTGGTGGTTGTTTTCCAAGTTCCCGCTGAAATCTTGCTATCCTTACTGACAAAATGACTGTGTTGCGTGATGTACGGTACGGTGTTCCCCCGAGAGAGAGAAACAGCACGAGTTGATGAGTGACAATCCTACGGATTACCTGGTGTGCTTGTCGCCTGATTTCCAGTCCTGGAAACGTAAAGTAGAACTAAAGTAATATCCCTCGATATATCAAGGAGTGTTGATCGCGTGGTTTATATTTGAAAGTGACTGGTTTGGTTACAAGCTTCTGTTTGCCTTTCTGATTTTAACTCAGCAACTTGCTGCTCCAAAACAGAGGCTTCGCAACGTTTCGTTCCCACCCCTTCTTCTTGTATATGTGTGATATCTTCGTTGACTGTGCCAATGTCTACCACCGCCACCCTTAGCACTTTGCACCTTTTTGGATTCCAAACTACCTTGTACTGGTGGTCATTACCTCAGTCGCTGTCCTCGTGAACATTTCCGAATAAGGCTTTACGAGCGCTTCGATATTCATTTTTCTCCAGTATGAGGAGGTACTCAAATAAATCAACATAAGTGAAACACTGAAACACCTATTACTCATGGTAAATTGCTCGCTGGATCATCCGACGATCTATGATCAAATTATCTCCTATTCAATAAGTTTTCTCTGTTCAAACATGCATAGTATCTGTGTTTGGTGCTTTCACTTGCTAGTTAGGGCTAGCGATTTGAGAATGTGAATGAGGAATCAACTGCCGAAAGTGTTTCTTTTTGGAGAAATAGTTTAGCCGTGGGGGGAACGGTTTAGTGTCTTTTATTCCGGTTAGGAGAATGCTCTCATTGGTACTGTCACAAGGAGTTTGATAGGCATCCCTGAGTCGGAATGTGGATAGCTTTGTATCTCATATTCATACAGCCATGGACAAGAGAAAACGTATATTTAAGTCTCGTCATCCATGCTACGCTAATTCGACAAATAACCCGACTAGCTTGATGGGACACTTCGGTTTGTGGACGTAAATTCGAGACAAACGACCAGTCACTGCCCCTGTCCACCTAGCGATACTTTTAGTGCGCTGGAGCGATTTACGGTGAATATTTATTTTTGCCTTTTTTTCCAACCTGGAGTTGTACCAAGCTTCACATCGACATACCTCGTATACCGTTCTTTCTGGGTCTCCGTTTCAGCATTTTCCACCACTCACTGATATATTGCTTCCCTACCGGTTTTTGTTTATTGTCTCAGAAATTTGAGAAAGTCCTTGTAGCGAACAGGGGAGAAATAGCTTGTCGTGTGATCCAGTCTTGTCAGCGACTTGGAATTCGTACTGTGGCAGTTTACAGTGAAGCGGATGCCGTGTCGCGCTTCGTGCGAATGGCAGACGAGGCCATCTGTGTTGGTCCGGCAGCCAGCGCTCAGTCTTATCTGAACATGCCAGCCATTTTGGAGGCTGTCAAGTCCACAGGCGCGCAAGCCGTCCATCCTGGCTACGGATTTTTGTCCGAGAACACGGTATTCGCTGCTCGGTTGGAAGAACTTGGTGTGGTTTTTCTGGGACCCAATTCGAAGGCAATCCAGGCTATGGGAGATAAAATTGAGAGCAAGCGCATTGCTACAAAAGCAAAAGTCAATGGGATTCCAGGTTACGATGGAGAAGTCGCGGGCCCGGATGAGGCGGCGAAAATTGCCGCTGACATTGGTAGGTGCATGTAAACAGTCATTTATTATCTCATGTGCAGTTGGATGGAGCATATTATACACGTCCTAGGCAACAAAGCGTATCATTAGGCCATACCACTTCAACTGCGGGCGAAGTAGCTCAGTGGTTAGAGCGGTAATTCACTGACCGGAAGGCCCTTGGTTCGAACCCGACCTCTGCCTCTCGACTTCCCCTGTCTAGGCTTGGGCAACGTGGCAGTATCCTAGCACTCGTGCTTCCCTTGGGTTGCATGGCAGCTAGGCACCGTAAAAGAAAGTGAACGTTGAAGAAACATGAACCCCTGAACTTTCGTTACTCTATGTACTGTCCAGCTAATGGCCTGGTCAAACAGTGCCCTTAGTCCTTAGAAATCCCGTTTTTGGTCCTCGCTAAGCTTGAGATAGAGCTTTCTAACATGATTCAAAGTTATCATATACAGTTTATGGGTTTTTGAGATTTCGAACCATAAATAAAAATAAAAAATCGTTCAGCTGTAACACCCTTTTGGTGCCTAGCTGCCGTGCCACACGAATGAGGCACGAGGGCTGGGATACTGTCAGGTCGCCCAAGCCTAGACAAGGGAAGTCGAGAGGCAGAGGTCGGATTTGAACTACGGACCTCCTGGTTAGTAAATCCGCGCTCCAACCACTGAGCGATCCACTACAAAGACATTTTAGTGTGCCATCCATGCACAATCCACTTGTCCCTGGCGTCCTATCGGTACGCACTTACCATGTATAATTAAAAAGCATGGAATGCTTAGGATTAGACCAAGGCAGTTGAAGAACCACAGTACTTCCATTTGAGTGCTCGTTACGGGCCTGTACGTTAGCCTGAGGTTACCGCTAGCGCCCCTAACATGGTATTGGGGGCAGTTTACTCCAGGGCTGTGTTTTTGTTGACCTCGCTGGGAGCATACTGATCGCTAAGCACACTAATGAAAATAAAAGCTCCTTCGAGTGCAGAGGAGTTTACTGACCAGCACGAACTAAGCGGTTACAAGCTATCATACATCATCATCATCATCATTGTCAGCTGAGTTTACTGGCACGAACTAAGCGGTTACAAGCTATCATACATCATCATCATCATCATTGTCAGCTGTAATAACCGCGTACTCGTCGTGCGTGCA